AAAAATTATTAATCCAATAAATAAAACCACACAAAAACATAAATACGATCATTAAAAATCATACAGCATAACCATCCAGTTTAATAAACGAGCACAAGCAATTTAGTTGCCGTGATAAAAGAAATAATATTTTTGCATACAATCCAAAGGTTAATTAGATATTTATTACCTGCTTTTAAATCATGCTGTATGTTATTATTATGGTTAATATCTCTTTTATGTTATCGTTAATCTTAAGTGAAATGAAGCAGGCATGCGGAGGAGAAAACTTTTTTTTTTTGTTTCTGGTTTTGTGAATTTTTTTTTTGTAAAGATTGGAAGATTTTGCATCATTATTTACTCTGGCTGGATGTTGTGACTAAATCTGCTGAAAACGTCTATTTTGTGGTTTTACAGATCCAATTTTAATTAATTAGGATTGCGGTGACAATTTTCATCAGCTTTATTTTCTTTAATTCTCACATTTTTGTAAACTTTTAAATTTATTGTTGTTGAACTTATTGGACCTACAGTCAGCCACAAAAATTTGAATCTACTTAAAATAAATGCGCTCAACGCCATCTCAAATAAATTTCCCAACGCACTCCAAACTAGCTTTCTTCTCTCTTCATTAAGCACTTCATGTGTACGAATTATGCATTTTTTGCATACAATAGAAATTCAATAATAACAACGATCGTAAAAATTATTATGTTGTTCACTGCAATTTATAATTTAAAAATTAATTTACATGCTGGTTTTTTAACTACAATGAAACTTTATAATTAAATCAATTTTCATTAATTATTTATTTGTATCAACTACTACATGCCTGCTTGTGTGGCTTGGTTTCTCATTGTTTTGATATAATTTGTATAATGATTAGTTGGAAATAATATTAATCAAATGGAATCAATAGTAAAACATACAATTTTTATGTGAATGATAATAAAAATAAGAGGAATTAAAAGAACAGCTATCGATTGCATAAAGGCAGTGGGAAAAGTTAAAATACTTAAAAAAATTATTGCTCTTTTCAGTATTCACACGATAAAAATTTGCTTCAATTTAATATTGTTGCCATTGTTATTGCTGTGTTGATATTAACCAGCAGATGCTACTTAAATTGAATTAAAAATGTTCTTACTGATCTATTTGAAAAGCATAAAAGATTTTTTTTATGGTCAGTAAAATTAATTTTTCTTCTCTTGTGATTATTGGCTAGCTATGTTCAGTAGTGTCTTTAGTTTTTAATATGGGATTATACTATTGACAACATTAATTACTATCGACAATATTAATTACCTAGTTAGCTTGTTTCATAAAATTATTGGCTTTTGAACAGCAAGTTTAAAAATAATTAATTGGTTTTAACAAATGCAGGTGATGCTATTAACAACTACAAATGAGGCCAATAAAAAATTGATATAATTGAATGTAGAATATGTTTAACATTATTCGATAAGATAAGACTAATGACGATTCGTTATTGTGTCTGTTCTTTTGGAAATTACGTAATTTCTGATATAGTGCATTTTTAAATTCTCGTTGGAAGCTTTATGGATGAACTTTTATAATTGGTAGGAGAAGGTGATCTAACCATGTTTAAACCATAATTATGACACGTGGGAGAGTAGATTCAACCTTTTCTTGTTTTATGTTTAAAGACAGAGTTGCGAGTCAGGTAGTCTGTCAACAGGCACGGGTAAAAGATCTGTCATAGACACTTCCTGCCACTATGCTTTCCTGATACCTAAGTCGAGACTGAAACTTCCCGCGAAAGTCTTGGTGTCTTATCGGTCTCGGTCTCAACAATTAGTCAAGAAAGCATGCCTGTCACAGACATTGCAAGTCAACAATCAAACCTATTGATATGTATGACAGATCTATGACAGGTGACAAATCGCAACTCTATTAAAAGGCGCATTCTTACTACAACCAAACTTCTATAACATTTTGTGTAACAAAGTTTGGCATGGTTTGAGCTAATTTGCTTAAAATTCTTTGTATTAATAATTCATTTTATGTTTTATAAGTCGGCAAAACGTGAAGAGCCTCTTAATGTACTAAATTCTCTTAATTGCTGTCCTGGTTTTAAAATTTTTAATATTTCTCATTTAATACTCAAAACATTATCATTAATTGCCAATTCTACAAACTCACATCTCAATCATAAATCTAATTATCATTTCAAAAAGTTAATTCCTCTGACAATAAACCTAATGACACAATTTTATGTCAAATCGCATTAAAACTATTTGTAAAATTACTTCTTAGTAACCCGAATACTAATTCTCAAATTTTAAGCTTTGAACTCACTCATAAAATTCGGAAACAGATTATTAAAAATATTTTACTTTTCTTTTCCAAAAATGGAAATTTTAATTAATTGCCCCAAAAAAAAACATTCGCAGAAAGAAGCAAATAAAAATTTAATATCAAGCACAAAAAAATAGCTGAAGGTTAATGTACATTTGCTGAATAATAAATTCATTGTCTGGTATCAGTGAGCAGCAATTGGCAATTCTTCTTGTTTATTTGCTATGAGCGTGCAAAGTGAAACAACTTAATTAAAGAAAAATTGTTTAAAATTTAAATTAAAAAATAAACTCTTTTTTTCTGATTCTGAATTGATTGATTGTCGACATCAACTTTGTGCATGATATGTGGCGATTTCATGAATGAGCCTCACATCATTTTATAAATATAAACATTGATTAAATTTTGTTTTCCAATTCACAATCGATATGATAATTGCAATGCATTGCCACACATTTATCACATGAAATAATATTTGAATTATTTTTTAATTCCATTGTGATTTTGACGATGCGGTGGGAATTTAGTTGTTGTTGCGTAATTGACAACATTTGGTTTTTTATATGTGTTTTCATGCTTGATTGATTTTTATTTGAGATTCAACAAGATGAATAGAATCGTTCTTTATTTTACTTTATTGATGAATTCGCAACGAATACTTGTCAATTCATCTATCAATTGTCTTCGTTTTCATTGTTGTAAAAATATTTTAGTGCTGCTTCTTATGGGAAAAGTTGCTAGCTTTACCGCTTTGGCTGTCTGTCTCACAATAAGTCTGTCGAAAGGATTACTTATGGAATTTACTGTGACATGAAATTTTCATGTTCGATTGAAATCTCTTTGTGAATTTCTATAGCCAAGTAAGATAAGGACAGTATTCAAATTATGGCTTAAAATGTTTGTCTTTTGTTAGGTTTTTAAACGATTCAAACTTGGAACTTGATTCTAAGCTTCTAGTTTAGAATATGCGCTTTTTACCCCATTACTCGTTCTCTTCAGCACTTGTTCCTTTTATGTTCTCGTGTGGAGAATTAGATCATGTGGATTGTATATGAATTGAGAATAAGAACAGAATTGGGTTGTGAAAAAAAAATTAAATTAAATAAAAAGAGAACTTGAGAAATTTCTCGATGATGATGCGGATTTGGAATGAGATGTTGTTGGTGTTTCCTGTGTATATCCTTATATCTGCTGATGGATGAAACTTGATAAGGTCATAGATTTCACGATTTAAAAACTTTTCTTCTTTCATGTTATTATGAAATTTTTTGCTTGATGTGCTGCATTTTGATGGATCTGATATATTTTTATGAGGCATAATTTTCTTCAAGACATGCTAAGCGCTGTCCATTACATCAAAATTTGATTAAGATAAGAATCTTTTCACTTAAGTGAGCATCCGCGACATCAATTTATGGTAAATAAGTGCTACAATTTAAAATATAATGTCCACAATCTTCATGTACTGCCTTCTAATTATCTCAGCTGATAATTATCTTTAAATTATGCGAACGCCAATTAAGATTTACTTTTTTTTTGAAAAGAATAACAACTTTAAAAATTTTCACATTTTTATTGTTTCTTCAGTGCTGTTCACTAATTCGCTGCTGTCAGATCCAGTTGAGTGAATTTATGTGCTTCTTCTTGCGCGGTTACTTACTGGATTTTATTTTCCACTTCTTTTACTCTCTTTCACTTTACCATTCTTAACACGGGAATTTGCTTATTAAAGCACTTTTTTTATGTGAAGCTAAAATCAACAACCATTTTTCTGCTGTTCTTTTCAACAATTATTAAATTATTTAAAAAAATAAATTTTTCAATTCACAAAAGTCACGCTTGGGAAATAAAACAAAATTTTTTTTTTTGTGCCAAATATTAAATTTCATTGTCCATCAATTCTATTGATTCGTTTTATTTATTTTTTTTATATTTCTTGAAGCAGTGAATCATTTGCTTATTGAGGCACTTTCTCGCCAAATAAATGCGTTTATGTATTCATGTTGCGTTGGCTTGATTCGATGGGTTCATTATTTGCATGACTCATTTGATGGTTCATTGACTATCGAGGGTTGAAATTCATATGTGTGACTGTTAGAGCATAAGAGGGCATTGATGAGAATGTTATTGAATTAAGGAGCTGTAGTCGTTTATTCTTGTTGGGAAATTTAGTTTCTATTGAACATGTTTTATATTCTTTCAATTTATTTTGACATGTTTGAGAGTCAAATTAGCTGATAGCGCACTTAATGTGCTGTAATTAATCTTGAAGAAAGTATATTGTACCTATTTAAGATTTATAGTGTGTAGTGCAGTCTTAAACAATCTGAATATTGTGAATATAGTTGAAATATGTAGTAAAAATAAGTTCATACTGCTTCCGATCGATTGTTAACTTGTTCCACTAACATTTGCTCAACAAAATAAACAATTCTTGTCTTCAAAAGAAACACAACTCAATTGTCAATGATTCCAAGAATAAATCTAGCATAATAAGAATGCTCTTTAATCTTCCAGACTGCTACTTTGTACTTTTTACCATCCAAAATCTTCTTTTCATTCACAATTGATTCTCCAGAATAATAATTACATGATTCATAAAATATTTTCTTTCTTTTTTTCTGTGGCTACACAACAGCTATAGACATAACAAATTCCAAACGTGATTAACATTTTTAACAATATTTTTGTTTTTATTCCAGGCATAATCTACTTGCGTTCACATTTAGGAAAATATTTATCAGTCGATCAATTCGGCAATGTCCTCTGTGAATCAGACGAACGCGATGCTGGAAGTCGATTCCAAATCAGCATCTCTGACGATGGAAAATGGGCTCTTCGTAATGAATCTCGTGGATACTACCTTGGCGGTAATCCAGAAAAATTAACATGTACTGCAAAGGCACCAACTTCAACTGAATACTGGTCAGTTCATTTAGCTGCACGTCCCCAGGTCAATTTACGCTCTGTGGGACGCAAACGATTTGCACATTTATCAGAGTCGCAAGATGAGATTCAAGTCGATTCAAATATTCCATGGGGCGAAGATACTCTGTTCACTCTCGAGTTTAGAGCCGAAGAGGATGGAAAGTATGCATTGCATACTTGTAACAATAAGTGAGTAGACATTAATAATAAAAATGTAAGTTGTAATTCTTTAACCTTTTATCTTTGCTAGATACTTGTGCTACACTGGAAAATTGGATGTTAAATGCACAAAAGATTGTCTTTTTAGTGCTGAGTACCATAGTGGACATTTAGCATTACGCGATGTTCATGGAACATACTTATCACCAATTGGATCCAAAGCCGTTCTCAAATCTCGCTCATCAACAGTTACCCGTGATGAATTATTTTCACTTGAAGATTCATTGCCACAAGCATCATTTATTGCTGCATTAAATAATAAATATGTATCAGTTAAGCAGGGTGTCGATGTAACAGCAAATCAAGATGAGATCGGTGATAATGAAACATTTCAATTGGAATATGACTGGTCAGCACATCGTTGGGGCTTAAGAACAACACAGGACAAGTATTGGTGTTTATCGACAGGCGGCGGTATTCAAGCTACTGGCATGCGTCGATGTGCTGATGCACTTTTCGAATTAATTTGGCATGGTGATGGTGCCGTCTCATTCCGTGCAAATAATGGAAAATTATTGGGAACTAAACGATCTGGCCATTTGTTTGCTACTTCCGAAAATGTTGAAGACATTACAAAGTACTACTTCTACCTTATCAATCGTCCAATTTTGGTTCTTAAATGTGAGCAAGGTTTTGTTGGATATCGCGGTGCTGGAAATGTGAAATTAGAATGCAATAAAGCTATGTACGAGACAATCTTAGTTGAACGCGGTGACAAAGGAATGGTTCATTTCAAGGGACACAATGGCAAGTACTGGCGTATTGATGGCGAAGGTATTAACGTTGATGGTGATGGTCCAGCTGATGGATTTTATTTGGAATTACGCGAGCCTACTCGCATCTCAATTAGGTAAGCATTTACAATGTGAATGACAGGAGCTCCACCTTTTAGATCACCTTACAATGGGTTGATCCTCTTAACAATTCAATTTAATCAATTTAAATTTATATTCTCCATCATTTCAGATCACAAAATGGCAAATATTTGGGTGCAACAAAGAACGGTGCATTCAAGTTAGTCGAAGGTGGCGCAGAAACACAATGGGAATACTAAATAGTCGATGACACATCCTGTAGAGACGAAGAAGAGGATAAAATCTCTTGAATAAAATAAAAATTTACCGTGTAATGTGACAACACACTCACCTCATAAATGTTCATGGATATTGAATCATCACCATTATATTTTAAGACTTCCATAAAAAGAATTGTAATACACTCAGCTTTTGATACTAAAAAAATATTTAATTATTGATATTTTTTAAAGGAACAAGAAAAAAAAAGATAAAAATTATTGATATGACTTACACTATCGTAGATGTGTAATATCTTTAAGCAATTTCCAGCATATTCATCTTATATACATACATAAAAATTACATAACTTATATCAATTATTAATTCATTTTCTTTTTCGAATTTCCAAAAAAGAATATCACTTAATCTTAAGTCTTTAACTTTTTGACAAGATTTTTGTTTTGGAGGAATGTGGGAAGGTTGATGGGTCATTAAACAAACTATTCAAAAGTGTATCCCTTAAAGTACAGTTTACCTAAACTACCAAGAGTACACTTAAGTTAGGTTTATGATTAAGTTTTGACTGAAAACCTGTTAAATCCTTCCTGTTTCCAACTTAAAGTAATCAAAACATTGATATAACTTTAGTTATCAGTAAACATGTCAAATATCTTACCTTACAACCCACCTACGATATACACAATATTGTCTACACCAATGGCATATCCTAAAATACATGAATAGAGAACCCATTCAACCCTTCCCAATAATAAATTTAAAAATTATTCTATTAGAAATTATTAAGGAAGTATTAATGCGACAATTAATTAAATGTTAAATGAAAACTTGTGTTTTGTTCTTCTCTCTTGAAAAAAAGGTAAGTTTCTGTAGGATATTGAATGGAAATAGTGAGATAAAATATGTGATTTGAAGTTTAAGTTGAGAGAATTAAAAAATTAAATGAGATGTTGAATGAGTTTATGATAATTAAAATATAATTAAAATGTGGTTTATTACAATTAATTAATTAATTATTTAAATAATGAATAATAATATTAATTATGTAGACATTTTTTTGTAGTAAAAAGTGCTTCATTTGCTTGAGATTTACTTGGGAATATTGAAAAATGTGTATCGATAGAAATTTTTGTAATAATAATTATGGAATTAGTCCTGAGTGGTGCTTTTGTAAGAGCAACAGTTGCGCTCATGTTGTGTCTGTTTGTTAAACTTGAAAGTTCTGTTTTTTTCTTCATAAAATATGTTGCACAACAGTTGCAAACACCAGGCTTTTGTAACACAACATTCAAGCAACTGTTGTACCACAAAATGAACATTTTTTGAAAGATTTTGTCAATTTTCAAGAGTATCTTTCCATATCCTCTAAAATCATCACCGTCAAGTCTAAAATTTGCGACTTGAACTAGCTCTCGAAAAATTCTTGGCAACGTATTTCCAAGGATATCCACTCAGGGATAATTCAAAAATACGGTATAATGAGTCAGAAAATTTATTTCTAATCTAAGTGAATCATCTGATGATTGCTGCCAAAAATTACACACAACCATAATTTATGATGACATTTCTACACTCACTTGTCTATTCGTCCACATTTTTTTCTACAAAAAAATGCACTTTTGTAATTTTATACTGAGTGAATTAAAAAATTGATAAAATATTTGAAAAAAAAAAATTATTTATTATGCAAAGATTCATGCTGATTATTATCATATGTGTGTCCTTCCCGCCCTGAAGATTAAAAATTGGAACATTTTTTATGTTAATTAATTTAAAATTTTTGTAGATCAAAATATTGTCTTTAAATTTAAGTTAATATCTACTCGTGCATGAGTATCTCATTCATTTATATTGTAAAATCAAAAGATTGGAAAATTTAAAAATATTATTAACTTTATTTAAAGTTTGTCACATGAAATTAAAAACACAATTTAGTCATTTTTTGTCCTTTATGATATAAAAATTAAAATTTGTCTTCTTAAAATTTAAAAATTGAGAAATTCAATAAAAAGCTTATGAATTATAAACATTTATGCCTTAAAGTAATACCATTTTTATTTACAGCTATATTGTCACTATACACGACTAGTAATCTGAAATTAAATCATCAAAAACCACAAGCGAATGACGTGAATCTGTTAATGCTGATTGAGTGGCTGGGAACAAAAGCTTATGACTCAATTGCGCTTTTATCGAATCATTTCTCTGATGTGGGTTTATTCTAGATTGTCTGTGGCTGACAATGTGAATTTTGAAAAGCTTTTGTTACATTTTAGTGTTATTGGTTCTATTTCCATTAAATGTCAAACTTATTTTAAGCTCATTTAAGTATTAATTGCAGTTAATTATATAGTTGATCAACAATAAATACTCTTAATTGATGTTTTAATGACAAGGTGCAGCATTAAGTCATGTTGTAAGTTTCCTCCAATTTTAATTCATCCAGCTGTTGAATATCAGCTAAGAATTTCACTACTATCTAGGTACCCGAACATACAAAGAGCATGCTCAAAAAAGTGAGCATATAAGTGAGTCTACTCATAAATTATACTCATGCAAGTTCATTCAACTGAGCATGCTCAGGAGTTCATTACGAATGTACTCACTTTATTTTTTGCAAAAAATTTATAAGCTCACGTGAGTACATTCAACGAGTGTACTCATGAGAATATTAAGAACATACTTATGCGAATACACTCGTATGAGTGCACTTACTGAACATTCTCATAAGAATAATAAGAACATACTCATGGGTATTTACTTTTATGAATACACTTCTTAAACATACTCATGAGCATATAATGAACATAATTTTATCTATATACATTTTTATGTAAGTCGACATTTTCAAAAATGTCGAACAACTTAAAATCGAACTTAGAATATATTTTAATGATAGTCGACATTTTTTAAAATGTTATTTTTAAAAAATTGTCAACCAACTTAAAAGCAAATGTTGAATATTTTAGATATGTAATACAAAAATGTACGAAACTTTTTACAATTTTAAGTTTTCTGAAATAAATGTCAAGGAATTAAATTAAAAATTACTTTGCTTTTAAAAAACTATAAAAATTAAGCACGATCAAAATCTTTTAGCTTTCATGGAACTAATATTTGAATTCATAAAATATTTTCAAAAAATGTCGACTTACATAAAAATGTGTTTTAAGTTTAATTTTAAGTTGGTCGACATTTTTCATAATATGTTCTCACGATCGTGCTCTGATCAACTCAAATATTTCATAAAAATATAGTTCAATTAAGTAGCGTATCAAACTTCAAAGAACTTAGTTTGCCTGTAATAATATAATAATTTAAGTATGTGTTTTGCCATGTAAAAATTATTATATATCTACAGAAAATTGCTCCAAGGAAAAGTGTGAGGTGACAGAAGTTAAGCAACGCAATAGGTTTTTCTACAAGGATGGGTGACCGGTTTTTAAAACTTCCTTCTTAAGTATTTGAGATAAAATGTTAATAATAATTTCTAAACATTCCAAAATTATTCACAGAATTATCCTTATAAAACTCAAATTTAACTTAATTAATTTTTTGAATTTTGTGACTTTAACTGATTGCACTCATGAGCGTGCTCAGATGAGCATATACTCATTAATAAACTCACTAAGCATATATCTTTTGAGTATCTTCATGAGTATAAGCTCTTTGAGTATGTTTATGAGTATATACTCTTTGAGAATGTTCATAAGTATATTCAAGAAAAAATGTTACATTAAAAAAATGTTGCGTGTGGCATGTTGCCTTCTCATTTGAGTATGCTCATGAGTTTACTCAGTGAGCTTAATGCATGTCACATAGAAATGTGCTCACTGAGCATACTCAAAAAGGTACCGTGATCGCATCACTTTAATGTATGAAATGAGCACATTCTCACAAATAATGTGCTCTGAGTATACTCATTGTATGTTCGGGGTAAACAATAGTTTTGATGATCATTATTGTCAATACTTGGTTGTAGGACATTAGAACCTCATTAACAATCTCAAGATGTGTGACTAGTTGTCACCAATCTTAAAAAACATTTTAGTCATACAAAGTAATAGAATTTTTCAATGAGAATATTTCAATAATTTTTAAGAACAAAATGCAGTATGCAGCCAAATATGATTTAATTTTGTAACACAGTCACTCGGTTACTTACAAATAAAATGAAATACAAAACAAATCATCATCGATAATCCACAATTTCGAATCCAATTGATCCAATTTGTCTGTTGTTCTCCATCAACCAATCATGATTCATATCTATTGCGATATCAATTCCATAGCTATTCATGAAAGAAAATAAATAGAAAGTTTGATGTTTCTATGGCAAAAAATTAAGTTTGTGCACGTGAAATTCATTATAGATTTTTGTTTTCTTTATTTTTCATCATTTTTATTACTTTTTCATTCAAACAGCCTTTATTCATTTTTTCCGTGAATCATAGTTTTTCTTCATCTTCCATCCTTCTTTTAAAATCATTTATGTTGGTTTGTTGTGTGTTTGATGCTTTAAATAATCATTCAGTTTTTTTTTGTCGCTTTATGCATTATTAGTTCCTTTTATAGTACAATTTTCTATATTCACAAAACAAAATTATCTTTTTTTTTCTTAAGGAGTTAAAATAATGAAAGGGAAAAATTGTTTTAAAGAAAGATTTTTTTTTTTTTTATTTCTAACAGTTTAAGTCTTAACAAAGGGATGCCAACTTATTGATCACGAGTTTGAGTCTACTTTTTTAAGGGAAATGGGTTATTATCTTTTATTAAAGGTCTAAGAACCTGGTCTATGAGATTTATGAGGATAAATGACATCGTTTTAGGTTATTTGATATGCTTGAGCATATTTTGCACAAAAACACAACTGCTTTGACGTCTTTAAAAATAATTAATTTTTAATCCATTTTCACCCGCAGCTTTACAATTATTTCCTTGATAAAATCGATCAGTTCCTCACCTTCCATGTCCTTTAACATTACTCGGTGACTAGGACTCATATTCCCACATCCTTGATCAGACGTGAATTGTTGACAGGTTATTTAAGGAATTCTATAATTCCGACACTATTTAGATACAAATTTAATTGAATTGAAGACTAGCATTAATTTTTTATAGATTTTCTTCTAGCTCAAGATTTTAAAGGATATTGATCATAAGCAAGAGCCTTTACAAAGACACAACAATAGCTGAATTAAATGATATTTGAAGAAGTTAGCATCCCTCAACTTTGCACCTCTTTTTTTTAAAAATCACTCCTTAGAATTAACAGGAATTAAAAGAGTGGATATTATAAAGGGGGAGATGATGGATTTACGTTCCTCTGTCTATTAGTTAATGTATATAATATATATTATCTCCATAAATTCACTTTTTAAAGAAAAACTTTTGTTGTATTTTTTTAGTGATGAGTTTCTTATATTCTTCTTCTTTATGTATCCTCAATAATTAATTAATTATATTATGCTTTAAAATTTATCATTCATCTTGTTTTTTTAGTTTAGTTATCCTGTGGATATTCCACACATTTAAAATGAAATAGAAACAATTAAAAATAATAATCATGATATAACCATTACACATCCTCCCATCCTATCATACATTCTCTATTTCCTAGCACTCGCTACTTTCCCTTTCTGCTGCTTCTTCCCACCATCATCCACCGATGACATTTCCTTCTTCCTCATAAAGTTTTTCTTCATAGCTTCATTTCCATGATAAACAGTCCCTTGAGCCAATCCAGTATGCTCATCATCCACAGTCATTCGCTGAAACTGCTGTATCGCTGGCTCCACCAAAGCTGCGACACTTTGAAGTGGCATTGGAGTAATCACATTTTGACTATTTTCATCTACCGTACCTAATAATAGCTCTTGAATATATAATGCTCTAAAAATACAGACAAAAAAAAAGTATATTTTTGATTGAATAAGGTATTACTTTGTAAATATAGAATAATTGGTTAAATTGATGATTGTAGCGCATTCTTGCGATGATTAATGAAACTTTCTAGAAGCTTTACGATTGAAATTTTAGACAATTATGTCTGTTCTCTACGTCATTAATTTTATGCCTGAAAAATGCCGAAATTTAGCACCAAAGTCGATAAGGTCTATTCTTGAAGAGTGGGCATAATAGGAATTGAGGTTTATAATCTTGAAAGTTCAGTTGTTCATGCTTAAAAATGTGCTCAGAAACCTCATGGGAATGTTATAACAAATTCTTTGTGCATATGAAATTTCTGTTACTAGGACTGTGTTCGCGAAGCTCCCTTTTGTTTATATTATAGATCAATAATCTCTGTAGTATTTTATATGCACGCTACATTTATGCATTACATCAAATTCAATTTATAGATAATACTTTTAATCAGACACGAGCTTTTGCACTAAGCTAAGTCAACAGAAAAATGTTTTTAAAAAGATTACTATTGCGTACCTATCAGCTCTGTCTCTTTCAAGTTGCTCTCTTTCATCCTCATTTATTGCTGATGACAATAAACGTGGCATCAAGAATTGACCGCTTGAATTTGGAATTTGAATAGTTCCAACTTCGGCAACATTTGGTTGTGTATGAAGTCCTTGCAATTGAATGCCTGACGTGGGCATGAATGTTGCGGAAGACTGTCCATTAACGACGGCTGAAGTTGCTGTTGGCATTCCCGACAATTGACTTCTTGGCGATATTGTCATGAATGTATCCCTTGAGCTCCCACTATTGGACATAGCCGATAGAATTCGTTGAATACTTATACTTGCTGAATTACTGTTATTTCCAACACCACCGTTTGTTGCTGTGCTATTATTTGCTGCAGTTAAATTTGTTGATCCTGGTCGTCGACCAATATTTGTGATTCGATTCTCAATGGCTTGTCGTTCCATCTGAATTTGCATTTGAAGCTGTTGAAGTTGACGACGAGAACCTCCGGCTAATGTTTGTTGAAGCTCAGCAAAGAGATCTACAGATTGATCACTTGATGGTTCTTGATTAGATGGACTGAAACTAGCATTATTCGAACGACGAGTGGACCGCACACCAGCACCAACAGCTGTTCTTGAAATCCGCCGAACTCCACCGTGACGAATTCCTGAAGGTTCATTAATAAATTCAAATGTGGATGTGCCACCTCGTTGATGTTCTAGTGTTAAATGTTCTGCTAAGTCATCGGTTTTAAGGTTTGGATCGCCGCCGGGCGACGATGCACAGACTGGACATATAACTTCTACAGAACTATCCGATTCTGAATGTTCAGCAGTGACATGTTCGAGAAGTGTCGTTTCACTAAATCCTTTTTTGCTACAATAAGGACATGTGAAGCTTTGATATTGACGTGGTGAGCCACTTCCACTGCCATATGATACTTCAATCATTGAACGTGTTAAAATACATTGCACAGCATGTTGTGTTGTGTGACGTGTGGATGTTGCATTACTTTCATAGCATTCAGCACATAGATCATAATCATAACAGATTAAACATTTGTATCGTCGTCCACGAAAGTTACTTTTCATACAATAATCACAACTGACTCCTGTGAAATTGGAGAGCAACAAAATTATCATTAAAATTTGATATACATACAGCCTTATTGTTTGTTTTACGAGAAGTAGGAGAATTTATGGCATGAGTAGTTAAAACAACCCTAAGTGAGTCATGATTAGCTCATCCAGCGAACCAAATATTCGACTATGAATATAATAGCAAATTTGTTTAACAAAAATGCACGAAAATATCTCGTTTTATTGCGACTGTTTTCAAGTAGACATTTTCTTCGTTTTCTTCACTTGGTCTTTTAATGCAAAAACAACAAAAAATCCAGTACACAAAATGTATAAATTCCGTACTGGATCTCTTCTCTATTTCGATCGACTTTAGTGATGAAAATTTATCTTGTCTTTTTCTCCTTCTAGACTTTATTCACACATCACAATCGTTTTCACGATCAACAAACTTTACGTCATTTTCGTGACATTGTGAAAGCGTAGAAGAAAAATTGATGAGAGAAAATTGAAAATTCCTTTTTTCTCGCTCGAAATAAAATCTTATATTTTATACATACCGTCGTGTTTGGACATATCAAGTTCCTTTAACTATTGAAACGCTGTAATATTGTATTATCAACACTTTTGCAGCTATCTTTTCGTCCACGTTGAGTCTGATGATGACTTAACAAAGTTTAAATAAATTAATTTCCCTATTTTTTCTAATAAAATTTTTATTTTTTTCTTAAGTTGACTTTTTTCGTTTTTTCGTTGCTTTTTCCTTATTTAATCTTTTAATTTTCAAAGAATTCACTTTCTTTAAGTGCTTATTTGCTCTTTTAGCTATAATTAATGCATTTAAATAGCTTAATCACTTGGTTTTTCAATTTTTTTGAAATAGTAAAATATTTTTATTTTCTTTGAAAATTAAATTCCATGAGAAAATCCTCACTGACTCTGGATGTTTGATCTAATTTTCATTTATTTTGGGATTGAACAGGCTATTCTTGTACATTTATATGACATTCGGTTGTTATTATTCATTAATTAATGGGGTTTTAAGCTTATGTTGTCTAGATCAGTGGAATTTGAGATAATTGAGGAAATACATAAGCACACTGAAAAGAGTATGGTTTTTTAAATATATTTTAACCGTTATCAGCTTTTTTATTGCTTTAGAAATAGAGTTAATTTAAGTGACTTATTATTATATTATAAACTTTGACTGCTGTCCAATAATGTTTAGTGAAACTTTAGACATATTGGTTGTAAGTTGACAAGCACACAATTGACAGCAGGAAGTTACTTTAAAGTCACATGTTGAGGAAATTCTATAGAAACAACCAGTTTTATGTTCTTAAACTTTTAAGTGCCTTTATTCATGTAAAAATGCTGCACGATTTTTCGCTAAGATTCACAATAAAATATAATAATAATAATAATATAATATAATTAAGTAGGAATGTACGGCTGAGAAGCTTAACACAAAACTTTTTAACTCTTTCTAATCATTTTTTCATCACCTTTAAGGCTTGACTCAAAAAACACAAGCAAATATTTTTTTAATGCAAAGAGCGTTCCTTTCCATTTCTATCAATTACTTTTTGGTAAATTTTCCACAATTCTAATTGTATATAAATTTAATTAATAATTATTGATGTTTTTATTAAAAAGCAAGGCGAGCATCCATCCAAAAGAAAACTGTTTAATTCCAATGATTTCTCTTTTTTGTGGTATATTTTAAATGCTCAACATAAGCTTTTGTTGTTGAGTAATTGCAATGTATATTATAAATAATGAGATTTTTATTCCGATGGTGTTAAAAGCTCCTTTTCATTCTCATTTAAGATCTGATTTAAGACATCCAGGACAGGTTCAAAAAGTTTTTTACTAGCAGCATTGGTTAAGTTGAGGTAGTCATATAAATCTATTAAAAAGAAAGAAATGTAAAGGTTTATGATTTTCTCACAATTTGTTATGTTTTCAGTCAGAAGAAATTTAATCGATATCATGCGAAACAAAATTAGAACTAGCCTTACCATGATGACTTATTGTTCCGTCGTTCTGGACTAATCCTTTTGAAATGTCAATGATTTGTACTTTCTGCAAGCCATGACACTTTTCCTGAATTATTGAATTAACAGTGTCGATCTTTTCACGCAGTGGATTAGGCTTGTGGCCTCTCGGAAGTAATGTAAGTAAAATAATGAAAGATCCAGCTCGCTTTTTACGAATTTCTTCCACACATTGCATGATACCTTCTGAGATCTCTTCCGCTGTATTTGTTGGTGTATTATTAGTCCCGCAGTTCAGCACAATAATTTTTGGCTTTACTTTCTCAAGTTCCCCGTTAGCTATTCGCCATAAAATATTTTCGATAAAATCACCTCTAATACTAAAGTTTAATACGTGCATGTCTTCAAAGCTTCTATACATCTCTGTTGACACTAATCCTTCAAGAATATCGTCCCCAATAAATACGACTACAAATAGATTAAATTAAGTGACTAGAAACTCAAAGCGAATATATTCACACCGTAACATCGAAAGTCTTGTTAATAGCAATTAGTAGACACAATTGAAAATCAGAAATCAAAGCTTCAGATACTGAAACATTTGCAGCTATGTTGCTTTATCTCATCACAAAATCCAAATAACTATTCTTTCAATCTGAACAATGCTGAACAATAACAAAACATTCTTACGTGAATTCGGTGTGAATATAAAAATTCTTTTTTGCAATTTAATTTTTTTATACTTTCTGGATCTTTTTCTAGGCAATCTTGAAGGAATCGCTTATGTATTGCCATCCATCTATCGTCCTCGAGATCAGGCTTCTCACAAGGAACACAGCAGCTATTAATACTCATTTTTAACAAGAGTTTACAAAAAATTTAAGAAAAAATTACAAAAGTCCTCGTACTTTATCGAGTGACTGCAGCGCATATTTTTACAGCGATCATTGACTATTTAGCAGCAAAATGCTAGTCAACGGAATAACTCTATAGCACTCTATAGCACCAAACTGTCTGGTTAAACGCTTTTGATCTCAGCCTGCCTATTGATCATACTGCTGCCTTTTAAGAATCAAGTTTTGAAAAATATGCTAAAAAGTGGAAGTAACGCAAAAATTAATATTTTCTCAGTTTAAATTTGAAAAGTACGTTAAAGTCAATTCCAATAAAAATCTTTCTTTATTTCAATAAAATATTAATTACAGCATAATTCATTACTTTTTATTCTTCTTATATCCTCTACGATTATTGTCGTACTCGTAGTTTTGCATCCATTGTTTAATATTAGTCGTACCTCTTAATTTTGATGAACGAGAGTCTAAATCACGAATAACGAAAGGTGAATAACCAGCAGTATAATTATCATCCAATGCATCGGTCTTTTGGAGAGCTTTCTTAGAAACTCTTTGTTGTGGAATAAGCTGATCTGCAAATAACAAAGGATTGACTGCATGTTTGCCTCCTTTAGGCTTGCTAATTGTTTGATTCTTAAACTTGGTCGTTATTTGCTTTTTTGGATTTAAATGAATGACTTTCTCGCCTTTTTCATTAACAGACACAGATACACGCTTTAATGTCCTATTTCCACACTTTGGACAAAAGACTTTTGTGGAATCTGTTGTTGTTTTAAAGCATGTATAGCATCTTAAGATGAAAGTTCGCACATATTTAATAATTCGACCATCAAGTGCTGTAACATTTAAGTTCATCTGTTTAAGCACATTCTGCATTGCAAAATCTGTTGTAATACATCCAACTTCTACTTCCTTTTCCTCTAATACGTCTGATGAGAAGTTTTTCTTGACATTTTTGATATTACTTGGCGTAATCCAAGCTTCATCTTCATTATCACTCGTATTTGACTCATTATCAGAGCTTTCTTCTTCTTGTTCTGGTTCCATTTCCTTAAATTCTTCATTATCATCATTTACAGCTTGCAAAACAACTCCAGATTCTTCGTTTGGTGGACTTATATCCATTGTACACAACTTTTTAATCAATTCTTCGTTAATTTCTATTTCCTGATTATCTTCAGTGCTGTTTTCAGCTATATCTTCTTCTTCTTCCTCGTCTTCTTCGTCGAAATCTACCTCAATTTCGTCCCATTCGTCATCTCCATCTTTGGGATTGTAAAATCCAGGTAATTGATTACGACTTTTTGAGTCTTCTGCAGGTTTTTCTGTATAATGTGTTTGTGCTGCGATTGGTTCTTTCCTTATATGACTTGTTCCAACTAATTGCTTCTCTAAATCATATGTTAAAGCCACAACTTTGATGTCCGTAGCTGATAAAGTCGCAAAATCACCAGTTTTCTTTGAGAATTCTGTAACAATTTTAACTGCTTCTGGATCTGGTTGTTTCACTTCTAAATTGTATGGAAGCAATACTAGGTTCTTTAATTGTTTACTATTCTTGACTTCGTCCACAACTTCCTGGATTGTATAGATTTTTTCAGCCAATTCCTTCAAAGAAAATTAAAAACATTGAAATATCGAGTATTACTTCTTAATTCTAGAATTTACCTGCAGCTGTGCATTATCTATGAATGCTGTTGTATCAACAACCAAGTTTTTCACTCTCTTAGACATGTTTAAGTGCTTTAATTAATTTAAATGTGATTTTGTTATTTTTAAGCACGAGAAATGTGTTTCTAGAATTCAAATTTTAAACAACCGTTACACAAAATAATTGAAAAGTGCGGGAAATTAAAAATTCAAAAAATGTCTTGACACGTGACACTTTAATAATAACGGACAAAGAGCAATAAAAACAATTTTTTAATGAGCGAAAACACACAGCACCACATTTTGTAAACTATCTGAAATTACTTTGAATTAATAATCGCATGACGCCAATCTAATTTATATTCCATATGTTATTGCAATAGATCTTTCAATTGAAGAATTTATTATCCTTTCTCAGTTCTTTTGAGTCTTTTTGAAAATTTTCCATAATGTGCATCGATGACCAGAGCAAAAAAAAATTCATTGGATGGCTGCATGAACCAGTTCTCAATTGCATAAGCATCCGTCGGTACTTGAGAATGATTAAAGATCGTTAATTATATATTTTGTTGGAAACAAGTTTTTTATTTTTTGCTCTCTTAATAAAAGCAACTGCAAGCATTATAATGCACTGCGATTGCATGCAATATTCAATAACTCAATCATTAAAATTAAATTGTTGATTTCGAGAATGTTATGACGGGGTCGTTATCAAGTGATGTCTGATAATCAGGTGTGGAGGGGTCTAGAGCTGTGCTAACACCAAAACGGCTTTGGTAAAGACAGAGGGTAGGGGGATCTAAAGCACCCATTTTCAAGTACGTCACTAATCAACGCTCTCCAACATGATCCGCAATGCATATATTAATAATCAAAAGTAATAAGCGATACGTCACTAAATCATTCGGATCACAACAGGCACTAAGCTTAATACAAATTGCGTCGAAATGTCACCGAGAAAAACGTTTTTTATCTTCGATTTATGTAAATGATGATTCATCTTAAACATGCGGGGAGAGAGGGAGAGAGTAAAGTTGTGTGGCGGCAAAATAGTTTGTATTACAAAACCTGCCTTGCCTTTCTGCTTTCCATTTCAATACACTGACTGCCGTCCGAACTCAACAGTATCACTGAATTGGAATTTAAAATATTTTTTTGTTACTGAATTCAAGAGCATACACGATTAAAAAGAAATTCATCAGTGCTCTTCTTTCTTCCGATTATTCTCTTGGCACATACTCGGCGCCGATATATTTGGAGTATTATAATATGCAACATTCACAGAACAACAATTCAGATCCATTCATAAATTTTATCAGTAAGAGATGAAATTTATTCTTTGAAGCTGCTTTTTTTTTGTTCTGCGTATGTTGATGATTTTTGTTCATTTTGGCAGCAAATAAAATATGCCAATAAAACGTTAAATTAGTTTTTGAATTTTTAAAAAAATCAGGAAAAATCATAAAGTTTAAATTCAGAAAATACGTTGAAATTTAAATTCCAAGAAACCGTAAAATTATCAATAATTCCAGACATCTGCAAAAACAGAATCAATTCGCCATAATAAGCAGCCAGACGTAAAGAGCATCGTATTACTACGAAGAATTTGTTTCTTATTTCATTTTCTCGTTCTTAATTTTCATGAAAAACTTCAATAATACAGCTCAACTGTTTTTTATCTGATTATTATTCACTCGCATTCATGCGTGCGTCATCATTTAAACAGTAAAGGCTCATTTAAAATTTGCCAAAAAAAAAATAAGGAAAGAATTTGACGAAAAGAACAACATTTTTAATTAACAACAGACGTATGACAACGAAACGAGACAAAAGTATGGCAGTGCATATCATCATCCATAGCGCATAGTTACACACATTAAAACGTGCTGCATGAGAAAGAAGGCACTGCAGTAAATTAATTTTAAAATAAAGTATATTGCGGCTTTTTTGCTCACGGAGTAAAAGAAAGGCAGCAGCACTTACAATGAAAAGTCGCGCAAGAGACAAAAAGGAACTAAATGAACATTGGGTTATGGCATTTAAGAAAGAAAAATAAGAAGAAAGGAGAGAAAAAAATATTATTACATTGTGAGTCTGGCTGCATGTGTATAAAAGGTCTTGAAAGAGAAAGTTTTATCGACATTGCCATAAACTTTCTGCTTTTCTCATTATTCTCTTGGTTTATCTTGTGATTGAAGGCCTTTGATGAACGATGCATTTCAAGAGGTTTCATTTTACTGCTCAATGCACTTTTAGCAATCTGATACACACACTTTACTTGCTTACTTTTATTTTTATTTACTCCATGGATTGTGTGACTAGCAGCATTAACTTTGTGCTGCTTGTGGCAGATTGGCAGCTTGTGATTTTGAAAATATTCTTTTGAATTCAACGGACTTTTCAGATTCAAAATATATGCTTGCAATAAAATTTTAAATCCAAGAAATATGTTAACTTATGAAGTTGATGTTATCCATTAAAATAACCACACAAACTCAATATATGCGCTTCATTGAAGCATACATTTGTCACTTACTCTCTACAATCTGCTTTATGAATGCTTGAATGGTTAAGAAACTCACATAAAATATGCGTTTGAGCTTAGACAGCACCACATATGCAGCATGATAATAAAAAAATTGAAGATTGCGAAAAACGCCTTCGTATACACATTTTTATGTTTTGACCCAACCATATCATTAAAGGAGATAAACATCATGTTTTATTATTTATATACATTTTTATGGAGCACAAAAGCAGCATTATGCTGAATTTATAATTCTGCACCAGCATATCCTGATATAAATTTCTCTCCTCTATGAATGCATGAGGCGGTTCCAAACAATTCATTTATGCTAGCTCATTTTGTTGAACTTGCAACTTTCCCCATGACAACAAGCAATGACAGCCTATTCATAATAACATTTTGTCCCTTTCTTCCTTATCATTACTTTCAGGTATTTTGCATATATGACAAAAGTTATTAATAATTATACCCAAATGTACTATCCATATTTCACTGAACATGTCATTTCCGGGAGTTGAAAAATAATAACAATAATCCAATATACCTCCTTAATGTAATTAAATTTAATTTAAAATGTTGCTGATAATTTTTAATCGCCAGTTTTTATGACTTGGAGGATGTGTCTGGTAATAAACTTTTTGACACGAATTTTAGAGGTCTTAATAAACATAAATTGGACTCATTAAAGCTACTAGAGTTGGATTTTATTGGGATTTCCTTTGACTTTTATGAGTTTGAATTGGTTTTAAAATTTTAACAGGCAAAATATATTTAAAATTTGTTTAAAATTCAGAACAGTTCAAATGTTTCAATTATTTTGAAGCTGATGTATGGTTTTAAAGTTTAATTATTGTTGAAGGGTTCTGAAGTTTTTATTTGATGTTTCTTTGTACATTTGCAAACTGTTGTATGGTTCTGAACACATTTGAAAGCCATTGTACAGTTTTTACAATTTACTGTTATAGGGATCTAAAAATTTAAATTTATTATGCAGCTAATAGCAGAAGAACTTTAGAAAATTAAAAATTTCAATGAAAAAAATCGCGACATCGACAAGTCCGCAACATGCTTAATCAAACAACAACTATGTTTCATTATCAATGTTTTAAAATAATAAAAATCGGAAGAGATATGCAAAAAGCCATAAATTCAATTTTATTAGCTGACTCTGAAATCTCAAATACGATTTCAGACGCATATTCTCCAATTTAAATGACTAGCAAACATTTTCTCCCTACAAATAAATTAAAATTCGCAATCTGAAATGAATTATAGCTAATTTTTGAAATATTCAGGGCATAAATCGAGATTTAATTTTAATATGCGTGGAGAACTTACTGATTCACACACATAAAATAAAAAAATTGTGTTTATAGAATTAAATTTTAATTGTTTCAAAGTCAATAATTCGAGTGAGGCGGGAAGGAAAAAAAGAAATGAGGAAACGTTCATGCATAACAAGCAGTTTTATGTAGGGAAAGAAACAAAACAATCATGTGTTAAAGAAAACTTAGCTAAGGGGGTTTTTCATAAATTAGGTTCACTATGACAATGATTTTTAAAACCCCTTCTCCCTATTCCTTTGTCACAAAAGAAAGTGGAATGGAATCCACGAGATCTTCAAGACTGGACATCATTAATGACTCAACCCCAGCTTAACTGTATGAAATTACAGAACTATATTTATTTATGCTTCATATTTGAAACATATGTACGATTGTTATTGTTATTCAATCGTCTGCAAACGTGAATTTTTAATTTTTAAAGGCAAACATGCATGCAGAACACAAAAAAAACTGCATGCTCGTACTTATTCAATGAACGAAAGAAAAAATTTCTCTACAGCATAATTCTCGGATTGCAGCTAGACCGAATCATATTGTGTGTTGTTTTTTCCTTCTAAATCCTGCCTCTTTAGAAAGACCGAAACAATAACATTCTTGACGCCATCGCATGCTGCTTTTTAGGATGTTTTATAAGTTCACTACCTGCGTGCCAAAAAAAGTATTCATTATGATCATTAGAATTATAAATCATAGACCCAATAAATTGCAATATGTAGGATGAAATTGGGAATTTTTAAGGATGAAGCAGTCACATGTGATGATTATTATGTTTGAGAGGGTCGAAATGAGATTTTTTTTTCAGTCACTGTGAGATTTTGAGGGAAAGCATGAAGATCATGAAAAATTATTAAGAAGTAAGGAAGTAAGCACGTTTTACAACTCAAATTACTTAACATATTCTGAATTTTCTAGTTTTTGAATTTGTATGGTTTTAAAGAAACAATTGTACAGTTTTGAATTAGATTCGAATATAAACAATCCGTTAATGCAATAAATTTTAAAAACATATTTTTAGACCCCTATTTTAATAATATTAAAATAAAAATATTTCACAGCCATTTTCAATTTTATCATAAGTAGCACACGATCAAAAAGTATCAGTCGATATAAAATGTAGTGCATAAGTGAACGACCTCAAGTTTATTTACGACACAACAATCATTATCACTTCTTTTTTTTTATCATGTATGATCTAATCCAGTTAGTCATCATTAATCAGAATATTAAAGAGTGACATGTGACACCAATGCAGCCATCATAAAAAAAA